TGCCTTGGAAAGGGCTTTGCACACAGCAGCATGGGGTGCTGAGGGTGAGGGTGTCTGGGAAGCAAAAGGAACAGCAGATAATGTCAGAAGGCTTCTGCTGATGTCTGTTTTATGTTGTTCATCCTCTTTTGACCTCTCCTCTCCCTTTCCCTCCTTGGGATATCCTTCTCCCCACTCCTTTCTTTGCTCTACCACCCTGACTTGCCTCTACCCTCCTCCTCCTCTGTCTCCTACTTCATTCTTCCCCTGGCTCTTCACGCCACCCCCATCTGTTTCTCTTGCTCCCCTTCCCCCTCCCTCCATAGGCTGCTAGGTCTCCACCATCCCCTATGCCCTCCCTCTTCTCTCCCTCCCTTGGTCTCAGTCTGCCTCTGTCTGTCTCCATCAGCCTCTGTCTGTATCTCTAGGTCTCTCTCTGTCTTGGTCTTGGCCTCCCCTATGATTCTTTCTCTTCCCTTTTCTTTCATTTGGAGTCAGATGTGGGTTTGCACTTTGATTGCATGATCCCTGTGTAATGGTGCGTTCAGAATAGTCGCGGAGGTGGATGTGCAGCAGGGCTGGGTGGTGCTCATTTGCTGCCTGGCTGCCTTTCCCCAAGAAAGCTGCTTGCAGGGGGGCTTGTCTTGAGGTTTGCACATGCTTCATTTTTGACCACTTTTTAATTTCAAATGGATTTCAGCAATCCTGTGAGCTTGGCAGAAATGTGGTATGAAAGGCCTCCTGCTGGCCTTACCTCTATGCTGAGGTTCTTTGTATGGGGCGTTGTCTCTGGGAATGATGTCTCAGGCTCACTAAATGGGTCAGGAAGAGAAGTAGAAAGGAAAGTTCTATATTAGCAATTTCAAAATGAGAGTATCTGCACCACAAGGGCAGGCTTTTCTTCCTCATCTTTGAAATAGCCTCAGGTCATCTTGGGGAATAGGGAAGTTTGATTGAAAAGATTATATAATATCCATCTTATCCCTCATCATGTACAACATAATGCTGTGCACATGGCAGGTGTTCAGGAAATGCAGGTTAAATGAATCTGCCTAACACTGGAGGGCATCTTTGAAAATCTCCTTTAACTTCCCATGTATGTGCTGCGAGTGTTGCTTCATTCCGGGTTCTAAGGCTTGTGCTTTTGCAAAGAAAGCATTTGATTGAATAAATAGTAGTTAGGCTTTTGAATAACTATTTCAGCTTCCCTTACATCTTCATTGCTTTGCCTTTGGCTGTCCATGCAGTGTTTTAGGAGAGCTGAGAGTTCCAATCTGCATCACATAGGTGGCTGTGTCAATTTTAGGAGAGAGTGAAAAGTATACTCTGTATTGCTTAATGTGGAGTTGAGGAAGAGGAGGAATGAGGTGGGCAGGTGTTGATTGTTTGCCCGCTTGACATTGTATTTTAATTTTCTTTTTATTCTATGTGTAAGACCTCTGGCCAAAAGTCATACATGTGCGTGGTGTTTCATCCAGATTTGGAAGGTGAACATTATCACAGCTCTGGAGTTTCTCTTCTTGGGAAAGATGAGATGTGGAGTAAAAAATGCAGCGTCTGAGCATGCAGACTTTGTTAATTTCTAAGGCCAGAAGGGATAGTATTTTCCTCGTGTTTTGAACTCCCCAATCAGACTTTTCACCACCTGCTCTGTAGAGACTGCCACTCACTTCCACATTCCTCCAGCAATCTTTAGGGGATTGAAGCATGATTTCTCTGTTGCCCTCTACTCATAACCAAGCATTTGTTTTCTAAAACCTAGGCCATCTAAACAAGGTCAGGGAGGCATGCCCCAAAGCCACCTTCCTGTGAGTGGTGTATCTCATAATAAGCTCTCTGGGGGTGGGGTGCAAGACTCCTCCAGGCACCCTGGGCTTGTCTGCTTTCCTCCAAAGCCCATTTCGCTTATTATGTAGTGATGCCAATAGGAGAAACAGAAAATGGGAAAGAAGGGAAAATGACTCAGATGCTTGATAATCCAGGCAGAATCATAAATACACTTCCAAGGAACTCAGTGACTGAAGGCACAGCAGTCCTTTATACTTGTATCATGGGCATTTCCCAACCCTCCTAGAGCAGTTCCTTGCGCCCGTGTTAAAGGAAGCTATGGGACATCAGCAATTTCATTTCGTGATAAGCCAAATAACCCCTTATTATCTGACATAGATAAAATTGTTCCAGAAGGAAACCCTGAAAATATATAAGTTCCATCTGGATGCGCTTGTAATGGAAATAACCTTTGCCCCAGGGCTGTCCGTTTTGCTTTTCTTAACTTGAGTATGTGAATGCCTTAAAATCCTCACTGTTTAGTGGACTGCTGCCACTGCTGAGTTCTAGAGCCCTGGTGGAGGCTGATAGGAAGAATCAGAGTTTTCAGATGTGTTTCACAGGCGTGGCTGCCGACCAGGAATGTTCTCTGTGGACGTTCTTACTCTTCCCATCTCTCTTCCCCTCTTATTATGTAAGTGCAATGAGCCAGATGCTCCAAGTAGGAGGGGAACGTGAGAATGTGTGTGTAATTCTAAGAGAGAACTATTTTTAAATGATGTGATTAGTCTAATTCTTTCTCAGTCACATGGATGGTTTAGAAAATTCAGTGAAGGAAACCTTAATAACCCATTTTTCCTTTGTGGGTGCTAATATCTTCTTTCTAAAAAGATGATGCAGTTTTAATAGACTTATCTAGAAATTGACTTGGTCACGTATGTATATTCTGGGAAAGGTATTAAATTAAAGTTTGCCTATGATTAAGTTAGAGTTTGGTTATTATAATACAATGAGATAAAAAAATTTTAAATGTTCCTGGCAAAGCATAAGTGAATAAACCAACAGGGTCCTGTCGGCTCACAATCTGTTACCTTTCATTGCTTAGAAAAAAAGCCCTGTTGGATGCACTACTGCTTCCTGTGCTACTACATGGGGTAGTTAGTCATAAATAACTAGGGAATCATTTCATCTACAGGTAGGTTTGGGATTAGATCACAGTGGGGTTTGTAAGATGGTTGCTTTCTCCCGCTACTTCTTCTCCCCTGCAGATGTGCGGCTGCAGTAGCTCCTTTGCTACTTCCATTCCCAGGACTCGCCGCTGTTCCCACACTGGGAAAATCCCCACATTCCATTTTCTGAGGTTACAAGTTTTCCTTTTAGTTTTTTCTAAACCCATATCGTCACTAAATGGTGTATCTTGTTGTCTGCCACTGAAGTTTAAGAATATGTAATAAATTAAGGATGGTTCTGCATTGCCTCTTATCTGACTAGCATCTGTGGGTGTCAGCTGCCAGCAAGTAGCTCGGGTGTCTGGGCCGCTCCTGAGTACTCACAAGCTGACACACTCTCTCCTGATAAAAGGTACCTTCCAATATGCATGCGATTTTCAGTACAAACTTTGTATGCTTAACCACTTCCCGCAAGAGAATCGCTCGACCTAATAAAATGACTTGGCTGGGACTTTCAAAAAGCTGGATGTAAATATTGCTAGAAATTATATAGCTAGCATAAATACTTCACTCTGAGCTTCGCCGAGCATTTTCGGAATGCTCCTTGGCCACATTTGTGAATATAGTGAAATCTGAGCTTGCGGAGGAAAGGCATGGGGTGGGGAAGATGCTGAGTTGAACAGTGTCACCAGTCCTCCCAGGGACGCTGTAGAGTAGTGGCTAGTCCCTAACATGGTTTCAGTGGTGACAAAGGAAGGGCTTTGCTCCTTTAGTTCTTATCTAATCAGCCACCCTCATTTTGATGATATGTGTACCTATCTCATTTAAACACCTACATGCCTTCATCTGCAAAATGGAAAGTAAAAAAATAAATAAATAAAAAAAAAAAATAAACACCTACATGCCTGAGTTCAGACATCTCTTGCTAAGACTTATGTTCAATCAAAACATATATTTTCTACAGAGACAATATGTCTATGTGGACAGTAAGACAAAAGAAATCAAAGCATTGCCAGTCTTTTGTTTTTTAATAGAATATTTTATTCTAATACTGTGTAAGGTGCTAAAAAATCTATATCTGAGTTGACATTTGAATAGAGTGAAGTATTTATTTTATTGCATTAAGCTATCCATTGTAGAAAAAGGTTAGTTTGTAATGGTGGCGGTGGCGGCGGTGGCGGTGGCGGTGGCGGTGGCGGTGGCGGTGGCGGTGGCGGTGGTGGTGGTGGTAGTGAAGGTGAAGGTGGCAGTGGTGAAGGTGAAGGTGGTGAATGTTGAACCTGAGACCTTTTATGTCAAAATGCTGAAGTCCTTCTTTAAGGTCAAGAGATGACTCTCCCCTCATGCACATTCCTCTTTATTTTGTATAACACCAATGCTCATGAAGAGAAAAAACATAATACACCATTTCTCTTACTGTGGTTTTGCATTTGCTATTTTATTCCACAGCTCTTAATTTTATAATGAGGTCTTGATGCCAGGTTTCATAGAAGTGACTAGCTGTCATTGATTAGAATCTACTGTGTCAGCTTCTTTGTTCTGTCATCCTGCTTGTCTGATAGATCAGAAAGTGGAACGGTTAACAAAGGAGTCATTAAGGTAAGGGAAGGTGTTTCAGACTAATTGGTGTGGAGGCTAACTTTTCGGTGCCGATATGGTGTCCATTTTCTTACCTTTTTCCAAAACTTCCTCCAAGGTGTCTCTTTGTTAGTATGGTCTCCCCACTCCCTCTTGCCCCCCGACCCCTGCAAAACACCAGTTTAATGAACAGAAGAACAGACAGGACCCCTGACCCTTTCCTGATCTTAATTCTGAGCTGTTAAGTTAAATCCTTTCTGCCATCATCGGATCTCTCTCTCCCAGCAGAGGCAGATGCATTCTCAGGGTGCTGTAAGCCGTTCCGAATTAGAAGTCGTGCTCCCTATGTGACCTGGTGGTTCGTACACACCCCCGGCTCCCCCGGCTGGCAAACAGCGGTGGTTTATTTTGGGGCTGGTATAAGAGCCTGTGTCTGAGGGCCGTGAGCGCCAGCCCAGGGCTGAGATTCTCATGTAATGTGGCCTCACCTCTTGTCTCCTCGCCCAGACTGCTCACTAGAAGCTCAGCCCAAATATGTTAGAGGTGGGAAGCGTTACGGACGGAGGTCCTTGCCCGAGTTTCAAGAATCGGTGGAGGAGTTTGCAGAGGTGACAGTGATCGAGCCACTGGATGAAGAAGCGCGGCCTCCACACATCCCAGCCAGCGAGCGCGCCGAGGTAAGAAGCTGGGCGGGGACAGTCATCTGGATCCCGAGCGCGAGTGCCGGAGTCAGGACTGACGGGGGTCTGTGGCATGACGTGGCTTTTCTCAGTTACCGGCTCTTGCTAATCGTATTACTTGCCTTATGGACATATGCGGCCAATCTTTGCATTGTTTTAATGTTTTCACCTCTGTTTCAGCTTTTGTAGAGCTGACCTTTCTGTGCATGCTTCATATGTACACATTTAGAACTCAAGTAATTTATATGATCAGGGGTCTGCTACCTGTAGCTCTTCTTGGGAATATATCTCTCCTCCATGGCACTGTCGTGTTTAGTTATTTACAAAGCTCACCAACCCCTCCCCCATCCCAAACTGTAAAACAGCATCCGTGGTAGGTAGGAAATGAAAGCAATGCGTCTAGGCATTTTGAGAGCCTGCATCTTATCTTTTGTGGTAAGGCAGCTCAAATACTTGGCTCTTGCCTCAAGACACACTGAGCAGGGGCGCTTGCACAGTGCTCAGCAGCTGCCGCGGTTCTTCTTACTGGTTCTGTTGCACCCAGGCATGTCTTGCTCTCCAGCGTTCGGAGATTCGCCTGCCTCCCTCATCTCCCTCCTTTTCATTGTGCATGTTGCCATAATCTACCAATAAAGCAGGAGCATTAACATTTTCTTTATTCTTTATGCGGCTCATTTACCAGCATCCCCTTTATAGAACATGATTGAAAATGCCATGCTGAGCAAGCTCTAAATATTTCTTGCAAATCCTAGCTCAGACTGGGGCTGCAGATAGTTCAGATACTAATATAAACTGGAAAGAAGACAAAGCAATTCAACTTTCTGAAAGTGGTCTGTAGATTGTAGGTTGATTTGGGTGTGCGTGTGTATGTGCACATATGTGTTCATTGCTGTCTAACGTCTATGTTCAGCTTACTACAATCTACAGGAACCTTACTCCTAATAATGTCCTCTGCATTCAGACATCAGGCATCCTCAACTTTCTAGAATACCCACAAACTGAAAGGTAACTAGAAAGAGCTCACTTGTGGAGCAGAAATGCAACTGGCAATAAGTAGTGAAATTGACAAGAACACATGACAGGTCTGTGCAGAAGAAGTCTTCATCATTGCTTTAAAACAAGTGACACTTGTCCTCACACCAGAAGTGAAGGAGCAGTAGCAGAAATGTTATTGAGAAGAGAAAGAGGAAAAATAACTATAAGAGAGGAAAACCACAAAGGCAGTGTGTAAGAGTATGTGGGTTAAGAAGTGATGGCCGAAAACAGAAAAAGCCATGAAAAGAGAGAAGGAAAACACTGCCTAGAACATCACAGTATACCAGGAGGCTGGTCATTCTGGGCCAGAGGCTACTTCCCATCCTAGGTACAGTTTCAGTGTTCCCTCCTCTTTCTTGGGTCCCTTTGAGAATTTAGATAGGGACCTTTCCCCAGTAAAACACATATACTCATATGCACAAAAATTTTATATATACAACTTCAGGAAGGCAATTAATTTGCATACTTCAGTTAGTACAGTGTTCATAATATTTATCTTGATGTCAGTAAGGATATCATTTTATTACATAAAGTCTGTTTTATTAACCCTGAGTAGTATGGAATGTATTTGAGACACTTCTCTGTGAAAAAAAATGGTTAAAATGTCTCAACACTTTAGAGGATAAGTTGTTATTTGGAAAACACTTTAACATCTAATATCTCATTTCTCTAACTATTTTCAGTCCCAAAGGTATTATTATTTGGTGCTAAGAAATTAAATGATTATTTTTTGACGTGATAGTTTCTAGTCCCCACCTAGGAATACTCAGAAAGTTCTTAGGCAGGGCTGACTTGTTACAGACGCTGTATTTTCTTATATCCTTGGTATATCTTAATCTGCTGATGTCCAGTAAAGTTTACTGTTTAAAAAGTGAGACTTTGGTTTCATGTATAAATAAAGATAAGAACTGAGGCCTGGGCCCAGGCACAATCTTACAGCCTGTGTCTCAGTGAAAGGAATATATTGGGAGAATCATTTCACCCTTGGTGTGCTACCACTTCCCTTAGCTCCTCCAGAAACCCCTTAGAAGTGACCTCTTCATGGGCAATATATGTAACCTTAACACTGTACCCCCATAATATGCTAAAATAGAAAAAAAATAATAAAAAGAAGTTACCTCTTGATGCCATGTGTGGAAGCCGCAGTGCGCCCGCCCTGCCTCGGCACAACTGCGAGGGGAGGTCGCGCCTCTGGCCTTCTGTCCTCAGCAAGGGCTCCTACTGACCGGCTTTGATGTTGCTATGTTTACATCAGAACAAGGCCTACAGGAGACCCAGGTGACACCTTTTTACCCTGCCTTTTTTTTTAATTGCCAAAAGTGGACTGAAACCAAAGGTCATCCAACTGCTTTTTTGCCTAAAAATGAAGTGTTTTGTAAGCTGAATTGGGCCCGTCAGTTCTCAAATCATTTCTATCTTTTCAAAAAATTTGATAGCTTCACATGTGACGTTTTTAATGTTCCTGGTGACCGTTAAAAGGGCAGAGCCCAGCTTTGTGCAGCAGCACGGTTGAGGATCATACTCGCTGCCTTCACTGGTGCGTGTGCAGTGGTCTCGCGGTATGGTTTCCTCAGCGTGCCAGTCTCGTTACATACCACTGTGTCAAGGTGGCAGTCCCGCCTCCTGGCCAGTTTCCGAATTCACCTCGGCAGTTGAGGTCTACTCTGTTGGCCAATGGCAGCATGGGCTTGCTCCGAACGCCCTGTCCCTTCTGCAGAAGCTGTCTAGGCCTCCTAGGAGACCCAGGGAATCTCCCCTCTTCTGGGGTGGCCTCCAGCTGGGGAGGGGAGGGATGAAAATTTCTCAATGACCTGTGGGGTTTATTTACTCTTACAAGGAGTTCTGAATCTGTGAGGAGTTCTTTATTAGATTGTTGCCTTGCTTTTTCTCTGTTTTGGTTGCCTGAGGCTCTTTAGTCTCCTTTTGTTGGGTGTGTTAAGAATGTATTCCTAGGGTTCATACTTTATCTTGGTGCCACCAGGCCATGCGGAAGGAGGGTGTGGGGCTGGGCCTCCCCTGACGTGAATACCGCGTAAGGAGTAGTCTGGTGGGAAGCTGGAGGTGGGCCTTCTTAGTTCCCATTCTGTGTTTCCTTTGCCTCCTGAATCCTGGCTTTGAGGAAGGTGAGATTCTTGGCTTGCCTTGGCCTCCTGCTCTCAGACATGCCTGATTTTTCCTAAAGCGACTTTAGAGTTTTTTAATGAAGACAATAAAAGGGTCTGAACCTGTCATTATAAATTAAACAAAGGGGAAGTCTGTTGCTACCCAGCAGGAGACTAATTTTAGCTCTAGGTTGAAACAAAGAATAATTTTATTTTTCTGAGGACTTGTGGAGGGGGCTGGGCAGTGGAAAGGAACAGTGTCACAAGGACCTATAAAAGCTGTCCAGGGGGCAGGGAGTGCTCACTTCCTTCTAGGAATTTATCCTATGAGGGGATAAGTGGGCAAAAAGTCATCTGAAAATATAATAATTTCTCCCCTCTTTCCTTTAGGGTTATTCAATAGTAGGGGAGGCTGCTACGGGTCAACAGGAATTCAGTCCCAGGCTGGGTTAGAGGTTCACATGATTTTTTTCTGCATCCTTATTTAGAAGCCTTTCTCCCATAAGCATAACCAAAATTATAGGTAATTCTCAGTGACTTCTAAGAGTAATTCTCTGTAGTCTGTCCATAACTCCACCCTCTCTCTCCCACTCAAGAAAGCATCTAGAAATGCAGGCGAGTGAGGGTGAGGCCTTTATAGAGATTGCTTTGAAGCAACTACATTTATATTTAATGTAAGTCCTCTGTGAAGCTTCAGGCTTCATTGGGTACAAGTGACTGGGAGCAGGTGACTACTTATGGTGCACCGCTGTGACGTGCTGCCACGGGCGAGGACGGCCCACCTTGTGCGTATGAGGCAGCAAATGTCCCACCACCTTGGCCTCGTCCCCTGAATAGGATGTATGAAGATGCACCTTGTTATGAAGTGTTTTTGCTCATGTTTGACTTTTATTTCCGTGCATATATATTAAAACCCCAACATAAATTATAAACATTTTAATAGTATTTATCCCATTCCTGCCTCCCCACCCCCATGCTTTTGTCAGGCAATTTGATTCTTTCCTGCTGGAACAGAAAATATCTAACTAGTATTAAGCATGTCTCCCCCACTAAGTTTAGTTTACAAGGCAATAAAGCCGTTCTGTAGGGAAGGACTACTGGAATCTTGCTAAATTTTCAGCACTGAAGTGCGTATTTCAGAATTTCACTCGGAAACCCTGAAGCAGAATGTTTTAATTCACAAGTGACAGGTGGGTCCCACCATCGGGCTGCAGTGTGTATCCAACTTCCAATTTAGTGTGTTTGTCTGGCAAATGGATCCCTTGGGAGTCTGACTTCTCATCTCGGGTGGTATTGAAAGGAAAGTAGTGAGTTTTCTTTTTCCATGGGCTTATTTTCACCCAAGTCAATTCAGATGGACATTCTATTCTGGATTACTCCAGACTCACAAAGGGCACTTTCTTGATTCCTGCCTAAGGTGTGATTAGTGAGAAGGTTTTGGTTGTCACTGTTTTTGCTTTACTTCTTTAAGAAACAGCAGTGAGACTTTAGATTCAGAAGAGTAAAATTTTCTCCTTTTTTACATGAATAGCTCCTGAACTGACCTTGAATGTCATGCTCATGTTTCTTCCAAGGGTAGGTGCAAGAGGAAAAAAACAAAGCTAAGCTAATTCTCAATTCTATTCTCTGTTACTCAGCCCTGGTAGGAAAGGCTGTGCAATGAATCCAATTGGGGCAGGGCCACTTTGCCTTCTGCCCTGGTTGAAAACAGGGCACACCTTGTTAACTGTTTTCCCCCACAGGGAATAAATTGGGTCTAGTAAGATTCTTATCAACAGCAAGGGGTTTTAAACAATTATTTCTTCAACTGTAGACAATAGTAGTGTAAGCCAAAACCACTGGCTTGCACGTTGCAGTTTA